GGCAGAAACAGATAACTGTGCTAAGTTAATGAACTCAGGGAATGATCCTTTTCAGGCAGAAAACATCTCTCAGGATGGCAGCTGTGAAAATTTCATGTCTAAGGTCCGAAGTATGATTTCCGCTAACTATGATGAGAGTTCTTTGCCTGACTCTTTGTCATGCATGCTGTATGATGAAAAGGCCTGCAACAGTGAGCACAGTTCTTTTGCTCGTGACAGCCCTAGCTGCACAGATATCAGCAGCAATGCTACCAAAGTGGCAGAGGGCAAAACAGATGGGGATGAAGACCTCTCTAGCTGTGATGCTGAGACCATACGAGAGTCCACCTACTTGGATCATTTGCAGTTTGGCAGTGATCAGTTGGAAGGTCAACATATAGGACAGGAGCTTTCAGAGAAGGAGGCAAAGCCTTCTGAGAGTTTTGTTCAGGAAACCTGTAATGCCCTTCAGCATATGGAAAATCAGTATATTAGCCCAAAAGCAGTTCCGTTTGAAAGAGATGGTATGGAGAGTGTTCTGAGCATAGGGGTCTATGGTCCAAGTCTTCATAATTTTGATATTAAAGTACAACCCGAGAAGAGATTGATGGGCTTATTGCATGAAAAGAGTTTGGAGGAGAAATTAATACAGAGCCAAAGCCATAGTGAAGAGGAGGAGGAGGAGGAGGAGGAGGAGGAGGATCATCTGGAAACCGTAGCTGACATTGGGAAAGATAGAGGAAAAGCCAAATGTAGCACACAGGAGGAACAGAAACACAATTCATGTATTCTCACCACTCTGGATGCATTAATGGAAGAAAGGAATAAGGTCCTAGTTGAATCAGTCTCAAGTGAGCTGGCAGCATCCAAATATGATAGTGAGCCAGGGATGGGTGAGGATGATCAAGTTGAATGTGAAACCCTTGAGGAGCACACCCCAAGCTTGCAGGAGATTCAGACCTGTCATCACCACTACCACCACTCTGCAAGAAGCCAGGCTTCAGCAATTCAAGTGGAACTCCTGAAGTCACACCCGGTTTGCATGGAAGGAGACCTCTGGGGAGATGATTCTGAGGAGAAGAGAGAAAGTCCTATTACTCAATCTCTTTATGAGAGTGAAATAAAGAGAGAAGAAGAAGAGTGTGAGCACCAAGACCTAGACAAGAGGGATGGAATCCATCAAAATCAAGGTAGAATATTGTGAAGAAATATTTCAATTCTTTACATTTTTCAATTTGGGCACATGTTGGGCTAGAAATGTTCACATTAGTAAAGATGATGCTACAGCTTGACACTTTGAGGCATCATGGCTTCCCATTTATTGTTAATTAAAATAATCTAAAAGAGAAAAATAGAGATTAGCAAAAGGAGGTTTCTACTCCATTTTTAAAAAGGATGAGAAACTCATGTAGCTGTGATTGCTAATTAATTGTTGTAATTCTCTAGGATACTATTTAAAGCAATCATGAAAAAGTAAGTGCACCCCACGTAAGATTTTTCCTTTTTAAACATTTTTAGCCATGTCAATATTTTAATCATCATTCAAACAAAATATAAAGATGCAATTGGGAAAATATGAAAAAAATGATTTGCAATTATTTATTCAACAAAAAAATTAACAGATATACCAGTTCCTCCTGTATTAAAAATAAGTAAGTATAAAGCCCTACATGATATAGAACAGTGGTGGCTAACCTTTTTGGGCTCCTGTGCCAAAAACTGTGCATGTTTGCATGCCAGCACCCAAAAGGCAATGTGTGCCCTCCCATGTCCCCTGCGCATGCGCGCACAATCCCCCACCGCCACCCTTTACCTGCACTGCACCTCCCAGCTGATTTTCGGCTTGTTTGAGGCCTTTTTCGGCCTCCAAGAGGCTTGAGGAAAGCTTCTGCAGGCTTTGCAGGCCAAAAAATGGGCCCGTTTTGTCACTTCCGGTGACAAGCCCCTGGGAGCCTGAAAAAGGCCTGAAACAGGCCGAAAATCAGCTGGGAGGTGCACGCATGCGCTGTGAGGTAAGTTTGCCTGTGGCTTGTGTGCCAGCACAAATGGCTCTGTGCCACCTGTGGCATGCATGCCATAGGTTCGCCATCACGGGTATAGAGCCTGGTTGTGCTTGCCATTTTTTATCTTTCTCTTTTATGTTTTACTGGTTTTATTGTAATTTCTTGGATTGCTGTGAGCCACCCAGAGATTTTTAAAATAGGTGGCATACAAGATTAAATAATGTTATTGTTTAATAGTAATAATTATGCCTTTGGCTCTACCTCTTATTGCCCCTTCAGCAGAAACAGGCTCAAGTAGGGGATTCTTATAATTGACTAGCACTCTCTGACATGGACTGGGAGGAATAATTTTTCCCATTTCTCTGTACAGAAGGTTTTCTGCTGTGTGATCTTTGAGTGTTCAGTTTTTCAGTTAACTATTAGCTACAGTGTCTGAAATCTGTTGTCAAGTTTGAAGAGTTCACTAAATTATTTGATGAATATTTTATTTTGTTTAGGAATGTTTCAGATCTGTAGTCTATTGCAGTGTTTACTGTTCATTTTATATTTTAAGTTCTAATCCATATTTAGACATTTTTCTGCATAACAGCACTGCCATTTGACTCAGACTTTCATCCTTCTGAGGTCAGTAAAATGAGGACCCAGATAAACTGCTTAGAGAGAGCTATAAAGCACTATGAAGCAGTATATGTCTAAGGGCTATTTTAGGAGTGAAGAAAGCCCCGAAACAGTGAATACTGCAACTGACATCAAAGTATATTTTATTTCGGTCATTTGTTGAGAGTCATTAATGTACAGTAGTAGTTTCAAGTCTACTTTTTTTTGTAATTTTAGATGGCTTTGAGAAGTTTTCTGAAGATGAAAGTAAGAGCTCGGCATTTGCTGTTCCTGGAGAGAGTGATGAACTTCATGATGTTCGGGCACCTACTATAGCTCAACTTTTACAGGAGAAGACACTCTACTCTTTCTCAGAGTGGCCCAAGGTAACTTTGTATTTTCAGTATGCATAAATAAAGGATTTAGATCAATGCTCAGTGAGAACTGAGAGTAACTTTCCATATCTTCTCAAGAGGTTTTTTTTTTTCTACATCAACAGTATCTGGAATTATATGGTTTGCCAGGTTTATCTTTTAGAGCATTTTCTAAGGAAGATAAATCAAGTGAAAAAATGGTGTCCTCCTCATTGGAAAAGAGGACTTATTTTAATGAGTCTTCAGCCATCTCAGGATTGTCTTGTTGACTGGATTCACAGATCATTCTAAACTGCAGAAACCATATTAAAATTTTCTTTATTTCTATATTTCATACAGGAAGGTGCCAATTAATATGAAACTAACAATGTTTTCTACGTAGCTCTGATTTATTTCTGTAAATTGGACATTCTTCTGACATGCTACTTATGTTATACTCTGTTTTGATAGACATGCATGTTACTTTCTACAGCTATTTGTGTGTTTTATTATGCAAAGTAAGATGTTTTGTATGTGTGATTCTAATGGCAAGCCATCATTTGGAGGGGGTCAGTCAAGTTCACAACTCTTTTCCTTTGTGAACGTATGTAGTACTAATTCCCTGTTTTTCATATTTATAAAGATTAGGTCATTTCTCCTTTGAAAAAAAATATTTTAAAGTACATATTATTTTTAAAAAGACAAGAAGAGATGTTCATCTCATTTCATCATTGGCCATTCAATCAGTAAGATTTGGTGGCAATCTTCCTTCATAGTATCTACCATCTTTTCTTTTATTTGCCTCCCCAACTTGATTCCCTCGTCCTAAAATGCAATTCCAAGAGAGTATCATGTTGAAGAAACCTATCTTGTTGACTTCATAGATATAAACTAATAATCTCATACTTTTTTGTAACATGCCATCTCTTAAATGCATAGGTTCTTCATATGGTATGTACTGTATTCATAAGAGTGACTATGTGTCTGCATTCCCAGGCCTGGGACATGATAATATTCTTGATAAACAGAATAGTAAATGCACAGCTCAATCAACTTCTTAACATCCTATATGAAAAGAGTTCTAGGTTGAAAATGTTCACTAATTTTAGTTTTCCCACGCATTATGAGAGTATGCCAACATATACAACTGAACGAAGAATATCTATTATTTGACAGGATCGGGTGATCATTAACCGTATTGACAACATCTGTCATGCAATCTTAAAGGGAAAGTGGCCTTCTTCCAGTCAATCTTTTGACATACCATATATAATGCCCACTCCTGCCTTAGTCAGCAGTACTTGCAATAGGAGTGGCTATACTGAACCAGAAGTCTCTGAATCCAGTTTCAGCAATGGAGTGTTAGCTACACAGCTCCCAAAGGTAAGCTTGCATATTCATTCTATTAAAAGTTATTTGTATCATCTTTCAGATTTCTGTCACTATAGAGAAAACTATTGCATATTTCCTGTTTCATTGTAATGTACTGATATATTTGGTGTATTAAGGTTATGTGGCAGGCAATGAAGACCATTAACATAAGCTCCCAGAGAGACCTCATTCACATTATTTATTAGTGGTCCAAATATCCAGTTATTGATATAACTCCTTAGTGGGAAGTTGCATCTCTTTGATGTTTGTAGAAAAAAATTGAATGGGAGTTCCCTGAATATATTGGGAAAATATAAGATATGAATACTTTGTTAATTCTGCTTTTAATTTAAATTAAATTTGAATGTGACACTACCACTCTAGGGGAGATTGTTGCTTTCTTCAAGACAATTTTCTTAATATTTTCAGCAAAGGAGGGAATGATGGAGGAGCAGAAGTCAACTTTTCTAACTGTTACGGGCATGGAGACATCCCTTTTGTAAAGGGCTGCTATAGATTCTGTAGCTGTACATTATGTATACCGCTAATCATAAAAAGTGACCTTTCTGGCTCTGGTTTTAACCACAGGAAACTTTTCTGGCTCCCACCTTTGTCAAAGATGAATCCAAGCACCGGCAATCATATGAATTTGAAATGGAGAGAGATGTCAAGCACCGGAGTCTTGATCAGCTGGTAGCATCCCACTCCCATCCTTCAGCTGTATTAAATGGCTGGCGGGATACAGTAGATCTCTCAAGAGTGCCAGATGGAACTTCAGCAAGCAGCACTCCGTTTTCCATGAGCACAAATATACCTAAGCTAGGGACAATGAATGCTCTGCAGGGCTCCCTTGGCATGGACTTGTCTGGAATCCTTCAAGCAGGGCTTATTCATCCTGTCACGGGGCAGATTGTCAATGGAAGCTTAAGAAGAGATGATGCTGCTATCAGAAGACGACGGGTAGGAGAAAAAATGTGGAAGGGATTGACCTGATACTTTTGAAGGAGAGAAGCCTGCAGACAGGGCTGCCTGTGAGTACAAATCCCCATACTCATTTCTTATTTTCACTTTTCTTTGGACAATGGACCAAACTCCCAGTGGGCACTTGTTACAGCCTTTGGAGACGACAATTGCTGAAAGCTGTTTTGGAGACCTAGACTCAGCAGAAAGAGAAGCTCACTAGCAATAGTTTTAAAAAATCTATCATGATAAACAACTAAACCGTTCTGGCTTCCTGAATCAACTATCCCATAATCCCTACTATTGCACTCTTTCACAATCCTGGATGTGGAGACAGTACTTTTGGCCAATCTCACCTGTCTCCCTTTACAGAGAAAATTACTCTGTGTAAAATTTGGAGGAATACAATTGGAAACATTTCTTTTTGCTTCCAGCTTTCTTGCCTTTTTTGTAGCCAGTAGAGTGGCTGAAATGTAAGCTAAATTCACCATCAGAATGAAACTGGTGGTTTCAGAAGATAAGGTTATGTAGATCAAGGTTAAGCACCTAAATGAGAATTTAGGACAATGGAGAAACGTAAAATCTCATGAATCCTGCTTTAATCACAGCTAATCTCCAGACATGAATCCTTATGTCTAGACACATTCTCAGTGCAAGATAAGATTAAGATACAGGGAATCAGCTCACATTAATCCATGATACAATATTTTTAGCCAAGCCTAATTTCCATCTAGTTCCATTTTTTTCTAGATTGTGATTTCCTTTCAATTCTCCAGTCGTTCTGCAGGTTGGATGATATTTCTTACTTAACTGCAGGGGTGGGATCCGACCGGTGTAACTGCCAGTTTGGTGATTTTACATTTTGTGCACACGTGTATATCGTCATCAGCTAGCTGCCTGGACAGCTGAGCAGTGCTGCTTGCAGGTGCACAGCGGTTGAAAAAGCACTTTTTTCCTGCTTTTTCAACTGCAGCTGTGTCACGTAAAGCAGCTCTGGTTGAAAGAGCAGGAAATAAAGGTCAGGTAAGAGCCCGGATGGGCGGGTGGGCCAAAACAGCAGCAGACATAGAACCGGTTCTATGTATGCTCTCTGTCTGCTGCTCTTCAGAACTACCAGTTCTACAGAGGTGGACAGAACCAGTAGTATCCCACCCCTGCTTAGCTGAGGCATCTCTTCCTGGAATAAAGACAAAAGAACAAAACCTAAAGGAGTGGGACTCCTTTCTTTTAGGAACTCACCTGAGGAGGTGGCAGTTGGCTGCTTTTGATTAGTTACTTCAAGTTTGAATTTACCAGGCTTTTCTGTAGGAGGGCAGCTGTGTTAGGTGTACGTTGTCAAAAAATCAGAAAAAGTCTGGTGGCATCTTCTCTAACATATTTTATTAAAAGTCACATGCTGTTGTTAGCTGCTGCTAATCAGAAATGAATTTCTTATTTTTTTTGCCAGACTTTCTTGGCAAAAGGTTCTAGAGGTTTAGCTTTGATGGATTTAATCTTGTAGCTGAACCGTGTGGATTATTTTCTCCTCTTTCAATGTCCTTTCTGATCATCACACTACCACATACCCAAAACAGGAGGATACGTCAAATAGAATTAGTAATTAACACAAATAAAGCAATCATATACTGTTTTATTGTAGTGCGATGTGATAGTCAAATCTTTTGAAAAACTGAAAAGTTTTATTATAAGCAGAACAACTCAGACAAATTAATCAAATAGCTCAAAAGTACTGTTCCTTGTTGCTTTGATGAAAGAGTCTAAGCCAATTATTGACAAGCAACACATAGCAATAGTAAAGTGTAGTAAATCTTTGGCCATCCCTCACATGTGAAAAAGGTCCTTCATTCTCAGTACCTTGATAGATTCCAGCGTAGCCAAGAATAACATATGCTTCCAGATTGGAGGAGAGGCGTGCGCCTATTTTCTTCCCATCTTCCCCAGACATGTTTTTCTTTCTCAGCTGCTACTGCTATCTTATTACACCATATCCCTATTCTGTGGATTTTTTCCTTTAGGTATTAAGTCCAATAAAAGCATTAAAGCAATTTGGTACTCTTGAAATGTGTCTTATTGCATTAAGAGCAAGTAATACATATAATAAATCTAAGAACAGTTGGGATCCTAATACTTCTGGGGCTTCAGTGGGGTCAAATAATAGCATTAAGCTGAAGTGAGAGAAGAGCTAATTTTCTGAAAGTTTCTATGTCAATCATTAACCCAGATTAAATAATGATAAATACAAAATTTGAAAGATTAAATCCCTCTTTCCTTACAAGCAATTGTAATTTATGCAGTAAAAATCTACATCTATACATTAGAATTTATATCTGAAGCATGCCTTTTTCTCTGTTTCTCCTTATGTTACTCAGGAAGATGAAGGTCAGACTGTAACAAGTAATTCTAATTCAGATGGGCCAGTTATAACTACCTCAAGTCAACAGACAGTTCCAGCTACTAATGTCCAGACAGATAAGATTGTTCCAAACAAGAGTCTTCTGGATTGGCTGAGACAGCAGTCTGATTACACCCTCGAAATCCCTGGCTTTGGCACAGTAAGTGCATGTTTTGTATTCCAATGCTGGACGGTATTATTTGGGATTTACTCATATTCACTTTTTCTTTTCCTTTCAGAATTTTATAGAAAAGCCTAAACAGAGAAGGCAGCGTTGTAAAGATCCCAGTAAGCTAGACATAAATTCTCTCACTGGAGAGGAACGGGTGCCTGTGGTGCACAAGGGCACAGGGCGGAGGGTAAGTGGAAGCATTCTTACAAATAATGTAGTCTTTGGCTTGAGACAGTAGAGCTTTTTCTGCCTTTATTTTACACCATACCATTCCAATCAGTCAGTCAGTCCACAATCTGGAAATTTGATCTGGGTCTTCATCAGTCCATTTCCTTTTAGGGAAGGGAGTGTGCGGCTTTGCTCCGCATATGGAAGGCTTCTCATTGGGTGGTCGAATGCATCAAGAAAGACACCAACGCAAGTTCTATCTTGGGTGAGCTGCCCCGATCAGAATTAGGGGAACTCTTTTTATTAAGAACATACAAAAGAGGTGAGCTCCATCCAATCACTATGTTACATGCGTAGGAATGTTAGTGGATGTATAGTATCTTCCAATCACAATGCCATGGTCAATTTAAACTAGCAAACCAACGCCTGCATTTCAGTTAACTGCCCTTGTGACGTGTTAATGGCCTTGTTCCTAGTACCTGTTTTCAGCCTACGTGAGACCTGGCATGTACTGGAACTATTGAGGTTGCTCACGTGAGGCTTGGCACACAATGGAATTGGCCCATTACAGCATCTCCTCTGTTTTAGTTTTATATGGAGGAAATTCTTCTGGATCTTCGTCACTACCCATGCAAAAACTTGTGCGAACGCACACATCAGGGTCTTCTGAGGGTATGACTTTGTACAGAGGTTCTTTTTCCCAGAGGGCATTAACCTGTGCAATGGCGCGCTTTTCAGCTAATAAAGACAGACTATTGGAGATGGTACGAACAAATATTGGTAACACACATGGAAGAATAACGCATCCTGCAGCAATCATACCTATGAGAGCTACTATGGCTTGTAATCCTGGTAGTTTAGGGAACCAAGAACTAAAAATATTCTTAAAATCAATACCTTGCCATACTTGATTAGGATTGTAGGTTAATTGTTGCATCTCAGTTGTTAATTGTGCTACTACTTTGCCAACTTTGTCAATTTGAAGACAACAGTTCGTAAGATTGAACCTGCCACATACCCCTCCTTCTTTGGCTAGTATGTAGTCTAAAGCTAAACGATTTTGGTAGACAGCTGTCGTAATTTGTCCGTAGCAGTCGCTAGAGTGTTTAGAGCCTTGTCTATACGTTGACCTGCTAAATCTAAAACAGCTTGTAAACGAATAATTCTATTAATCATGTATATGGGGGTTCTGTACCCCCAGGACCCGTCTTGGGCCCAACTAGCAATGTTGTAGGTGCAGACTATTCTTTCTGAGGTCCAGGTGTCCCCTTCATATTCTGATTGACAGGGGAAACCTGCAAAGGCATTATCGGTGTTTCTTTTCCTGCGGGATAATGTATCATACACAGGGATGCCCAGTTTTTGCTTAATGGAGATCGGTAGGAGGAAAAAGGAAGGTCTTATCCACCCCAATACACATGACCCTTGCCAATCTGCTGGAAGGGACGGATAGGCTAGGTTACCACAAATCCAATACATGTTATTTGGAGCTGTCCAAATTTGGGAGGATGTTGTGTCATAGAGATAAGGTAGGAGGGAGGTGTTGAATTTGGCAGGTGTGGTGGTAGCATTGTCAGGTGCTGTCCAAGTCTGGTAGGAGTTATCCCATGTACCTAAGCAAAGGAGGTGTCCTACTGGAGTGGACCCATTTCGGGAAAAACAGTTTCTACCAATTAAGTTAGTGGTAATTGTCCAGATAAGTGGATCGGAAGCTATTCTAGCTGTTATGTTTCCTACAGAAGACATGTTATTAAACAGAGATGGCGAGGCTTCTAAGGCTTGCCACGGCCATTGTTCTCCTGTGGTGGTTCCCCCACAGACAAAACAATTGGTTACTGCAAGTTGTTTTGCAATTTTTTCTGCCATATCCATGAACAAGTTTTTTGCAATAATGCTGGTATCAGGGGCTTTTTCTAATTTCCTTAAATTATTATATACTGACCAGCCTAATGATGTTTCCTTGCCTTCATAAATTATTTCAGTTTTTATGGTAATGTAAGTATTTGGGTCTATTCCTGTGCCATCAATCCCTATACCATAAGTTTCCAAGGCAGGGTGTTGCCTGGAGATAGTGATTTCTACCTTATTGTCTGTGGTAGACCCTGATATTCGTTTGAAATGTGACAGATGATTGCAACCTGAGTACCCTCCCCCGGTATAATCACAGACACAAGACCAACCCGAGCACTCAATGGAACCTCCACAAGGGGTCCATTGGTTGGGGTTCCCCATGGCCCAGTTAATGGGCGTATGACACAAGTATTTATGATTGTGGGCGTACGTTGATTTCCAGTCATCCGACCCACATGAATGTCCCCCTGGTTTAGAACAAGCAACACAAACATCAAATATTAAAACAATTGGGTTAGTACCGTCCTTGAGCACGGTGGTATGGTTTAGGTAATAAAGTTTTCCTTCCCCCTCAGGATCGGATCTGCCAGAGGTTCTTGGAAGTCCCGCCCATAAGGTGACGTTGAGACGTACAGCTGTCTTGGGATCGTAGCAAATAGTTTTTGAGTTCCTTTTGCATAGATGGTACATGGTCCCATTGTTTTGGCAAGTTTTTCCCGTAGGAAGGCACTTCTGCGGTTGTTGGATATGGTAGATGAGAGTTAGTTGAGTGGAGCCTGCCTGCGTGGTTTTGGTCAGGCAGGGGGTACAACCATCTGATGCGCTGGCAGAGTTCTGCGATCTCTTAATCCGATGTAGAAAAGGGGTGGTCTGAGCATAAATGTCAGGCTGACTTGCAAATTGTCTGTGATAATGACGAGGTGAACGGGGTCTAAGGACTGTCCAGGATTCATAAATGTTGCTTATGGAATCATAGAGGCGTCGACCGGAGCAATAATAGGTGGTGGCAGTGGGGCGAAGTATGAGGAGTGTAGTTCAAGGGGGATGTTCAAAAGTGTTGATCTGGAAGGAAGCATTGCTGGAGATGTGGGGCCACGGCTTAGGGAGCGTTGACCATCTGAGGTAGGGGGGAAAGATGTCCCCAGATGCGGTGCAGGTCAGCAGGAGGGGAGTGCCTGGCGTGAAGTACGTCACTCGAGATGGAATGGAGACCTTGGAGGCATGTGCAGCAAGAAGGAGGAAGAGGGTCGGCAAGGCAACGAGACGAATCATGATGATATGTCTGCAGGTGGTGATTTTTCTGCAGGTGGTGATTTTTCTACCTTGGGGTGGTATGGTCTGACGTGTCGTCCAGGAACCCACAGGACACGATCTGGAAGCTGGATTGCTGCGTAGCCACGACCCCAGGTGAGGAGACCAGCAGGGCCTTTCCAAGTAGGGTCTGGCAGTTGGCGGTAGTATACCTGTGGTTTGGGAGAATCAGGGGAGGGGGGGGAGGAAAAATGTCGCTCCGCTGCTGTCATAGCAGGGGTGCCAGAGAGGTTGAGGAAGTTGAGTGTATAAAGACAGAGATTAAGGGTGTCTTGCATCGCCGGGAGGCCAAGGGTTCTTTTCCCTTTGATCAAATGTCGTTCTAGCGCTATTTTTAGTGTTAAGTTGGTTCTCTCTACCAGGGCTTGTCCTTGACTATTATAAGGAATCCCAAATTTTTGGGTAATTTGCCACTTAGCGCAAAATTCTGACATAGCTGTGCTAGTGTATGCGGGACCATTATCTGTTTTTATTTCTTTCGGGCATCCCAACGATGCAAAGGTGCGAATGCAATGGTTGATGACATGTTTGGAGGCTTCTCCTCTTTGCGGAGTCGCCATTATAAACCCTGAATAAGTATCAATTGTAACATGCAGATACTTCCAGGGGGCAAATGAAGGAAACTGAGTAACGTCCATCTGCCATATTTCACAGGCTTTCAACCCGCGGGGATTTACCCCTAAGGGAATGGAATGGGCTTGTTGACTATAGATGGGGCACTGCTGTCTAATGGCTGAGGCTTCGGCCATAGTGAGGTTGAAATGTTTCATGAGAGCTTTGGTGTTTTGATGGAAATAAGAATGGCTCTCCCAAGGAGTCAGTGTGTGTGATGTCATGATGCCTGCAGCCGCTTGATCAGCCATATTATTGTCTTCCTGGAGGATTCCTGGGAAGGGTTGGTGGCTGCGGATGTGTGCTACAAAGAAAGGGTGTTGACGCTGTGCAACAAGGTGTTGTAATGTAACAAAAAGAGAGAGGAGGTTTTTATCAATAGCAGGAGAGAGGTAAGAATCGTGGATAGTAGAGACTATTTGGGTAACATATAGGCTGTCTAAAATCAAGTTGATGGGTTCGTTAAAATTCTGGAAGACTAATATGGTTGCAGCAAGCTCAGCCCTTTGTGGTGATGTTTGCACAGGGGTGGTTTTAGTGTGCCACACCCCATTCCTTTGCCAAGCGCATGCCCCTCGTTCCCTACTGCCATCAGCAAAAATAGTCAAGGCGTTGACCAGAGGCCTTTTGCTGATGGGAGAGGAGAAAGAAATGGGTATTGTCCGAATGATTTGAAAACGTGGATCAGCGGGCAGGTGGCAGGAAACTAGTCCAGGCCAGTCAGCTAAGGCAAACTGGATTTCTTGGGAGTTCTGGAATAGAGGTTCCCATATTTGCAGTGAAAAAGGGATGAAAAGTGTGGAGACATCTATTCCCATAAGTAATTTTGCACGACTTTTACCTTTTATGATCAATTGAGCCAATTGAGCTGATTTGGAAGTGATGGAGCATCGTGGCGTATGGGAAAGATGGATCCACTCTATGATGTGGAGTTTTTGAGTTACTGCCGCGGTCATAAGCCTCGGGGTGGCCAAAATGACCATATCTAAAGGAGTATTGGCAGCAGCTCTGTCTACCCATATTTTTCGGATATTCTCTTCTATGAGAGTTATTGCTTGAAGCTGAGGTTGCTGCAAGGATATTATGTCAGCAGGCTTTTTCCCCCAGGTAAGGGCCTCAAACAATGGAGAAAGAATATCAGTGGTTAAAGACAGGAAAGGTCGGGCCCAGTTAATGGTACCCAGATATTGCTGAAGTTGAACCAAGGTGGGTTGAGAAGACAGAGACAGAGAGGGAAGTGAAGGATAGGCAGTAGCAGAAAGCATTCTATAGCCCAGATATGCGTATGGAGTTAGTACTTGCACCTTTTCAGGTGCTATGTACAAACCTCCTTCTGCAAGAACGGCTTTCAGGAAGGAGAATGAAGTGAACACCGTACCCGGTGGCCCAGGAGCTGCAACACGGATATCGTCCATGTAGTGATACACCAGAAATTGTGGAAAAGCTGAACGATAGGGTAGCAAGACATTATTGACATAGTGTTGACACATGGTGGGACTATTAAGCATGCCTTGAGGTAGGACTTTCCACTGAAAGCGGGAGGAGGGAGAGGAGTTGTTTAAGTGAGGTAGTGTAAAAGCGAATAAGGCACGATCTTGTTCATGCAGAGGGATAGAAAAAAAACAGTCTTTTAAATCAATGACCATTAAATCAAATTTCTCAGGGATGATGTTGGGATTTGGCAGACCACATTGTAATGCCCCCATTGGTTTTATAATCGTATTCACGGCTCTCAAATCACATAATAGCCTGAATTTTCCTGACTTTTTCTTTATAACAAATATGGGGGTGTTATATGGACTGACAGATGGTTCAACGTGCCCTTTGACAATTTGGTCCTGAACAAGTGAGTGCAGGGCCTCTAGTTTGTCTATAGTGAGGGGCCATTGATCTACCCACACAGGTTCTGTGGTTTTTAATTGCAGCCGTAGTGGATTTCTAGCAAAAGATTCCATTAATCAATAATGAGTCTTGCATTAAGTTGAGACATAAGATCACGGCCCCATAGGTTAGTATGCAGTGGAAGGACCAAAGGTTGGAGGTAGGCAGTGCGAGAAATATCAGAAGAACTCACCGGTAGCCAGTGTTTGCTACGGTGGGCGTGCTGAACTCCTCCCACTCCCCGAACGGCTGGGGCAGTTTCCAAAGGCCAATCGTCCGGCCACTCAGCCGTTCGGATGACACTTACATCAGCTCCAGTATCTAAGAGACCCGAGAAGACTTTGTTATGGATTGTAAATTGTAACACAGGCCTGGCTTGTTCTACTGTCTGATGGACAGTAAATGCCCATGCATCAGCTGTTTTAACAGGTACTGGAATAGCGGTTGCTACTAAGTCTCCCTTGCTAAATTTTGTGGGAGTATTTCCAATTACTGCCATGGCTACTGAGGAAAAGTCGTCGGAGTCTCTCAAAAACAGAGAAGCGATGATTCCCCTTGCCATGAGGTCTCGGATGGGATAGATTATGAGGGGTGTCATGGCAGGGGGGATCGTTTTCAGGCATGTGGGGAGAAAGTAAACAGTGCCTGGGATGTCAATTTCCATATCTTCGGAGGCAATTAGGTGGAAAGATATGGAGTCAGCCTTTGGAGTGGGGCTGGCTGATCGCCCCTCCTCTAGTTTCCCTGTGGCTGAGAATTGTTGCTGCGACACTGATTTGCCCAGTGGTACCCTTTCTTGCACCTGGGGCATATCGTCTTAGGCTTGGTGTTGTTTTGTGTATTGTCTCTGGTTCTGCATTGTGCCTTAAAATGGCCAGGTTTCCCACAATTGAAGCAGTTTCCGGCCGGCCTGTTCTGAGAGTTTGCTTGCTGCAAAGCCATAGCCAGATGCTCCATATTGTAGGAGACAGTCCCCACGATTCTGCAAGCCTTTAGATAGTCCGAGAGGGAAACCCCCCCTCGGGCAGATAGAGGCTGCAGAATCCTTTTGCAATCCTCATTAGCATTTTCAACAGCCAGTTTTAACAGAAGCTCTCTACGGGCTTCTTCATTAGAGATTTGCCTATGAATGGCTTTCTGAAGCTCCTCTATGAACTCGGCATAAGGCTGATTTGAGCCTTGAATAATTTTTGAAAAAGATCCTATGATGCCAGAGGTAGGATCATCAACTTTGTCAAGGGCTTTGATTGCTATGATACTGACAAAGGTAAGGGTACGTTGTGGGAGTGTCGCCTGAGCTGCTAAGTCCATAAATTGACCCATACCACAAATTTGATCCGCTCTCGCGACCATACCATGATCGCGGGCAAATTTTTCAGCTTCGGCGCGAAAGTCTGACTCCCAAACAACGTACTGTGGTCCTGTCAGTATCATGCAAAAAAGATCCTTCCAATCTTGGGGTAACATGAAAAAGGAGGTGCTGATGGTGTTAATGAAGCCTCTGACATATGGTGCCTGGATGCCGTACATGGCCACGGCTTGTTTTAAATCTCTAATTAATTTCATGGATAAAGGTTCAAGTCTAGGCACCATATTTCCGGCTCCATCCCCTACATATTCAACGGGACAGAGAGAGAGCTCCTCTAGAGTAAGAGAGCCTTCTCTGCATCCCTGCACCATGGCTTGTGCGAATGCTCCCATGGGTGTCTGATCCCTCGCTGGATTTGAGTTAGGAGAACTCATGGGTTCAGGAGCAGTGGGGGGGGGAGCTTCTAACGGGAAAGCATCCTTAGTCTTTGTTTCAGTTGTGTAAGGAGGAGGAGGATCCTCCTCAGGGGAGGGGGCCTTGGTCAGCGCTGAGCCATGGATTGTTAAGCATTCCATGACTGTCCTCCACGTGGTCAGAATTTTTGGTGGAGCCCTGGGATTGCTATGAAAATAGTCACCCAAACGTTGCCATGTGGAAACTTTCAAGGACCCTTTATCCGGATAAGCCGGGCATTGCGTGTAAATGTAAGTCAAAAGGGTAATAAGGTCCTTCTTAGTTGGAATCAGGAGCGTTTTGCCCTGATTCCCAAGAATACGAATTGAACTCTTCGTTAATTCTCCTAATTCCTGCAAATGTGCTATCTGCTCTTTGGAGAATTTTCCGCCCATACTCACCTGAAGGGAGGATGTCTTCTTTGCTGAAGATTCCTGGGGAGGGATCTGTGACACGGAGACGGCGTCCCTGGGTTGCAACTGGCTCGTCCGGCCGGGTAAGATAGGCAGTCGAAGAGAGACGCACCGGTTTCCTTTAGCGGATCACGTCGGGGTCACCAATTGCGGCTTTGCTCCGCATATGGAAGGCTTCTCACTGGGTGGTCGAATGCATCAAGAAAGACACCAACGCAAGTTCTATCTTAGGTGAGCTGCCCCGATCAGAGTTAGGGGAACTCTTTTTATTAAGAACATACAAAAGAGGTGAGCTCCATCCAATCATTATGTTACATGCGTAGGAATGTTAGTGGATGTATAGTATCTTCCAATCACAATGCCATGGTCAATTTAAACTAGCAAACCAATGCCTGCATTTCAGTTAACTGCCCTTGTGACGTGTTAATGGCCTTGTTCCTAGTACCTGTTTTCAGCCTACGTGAGACCTGGCATGTACTGGAACTATTGAGGTTGCTCACATGAGGCTTGGCACACAATGGAATTGGCCCATTACAGCAGGAGTGAAAATTCTAAGATTTGTCCTTTATTTCTTCATTACAGTTCTGTGCTTTGTGCATTTGAACTGCATATGCGAAAGGAGTAGCACTAGAATAATTTAAGTATAAGTGTTCTAGTCTCCAAATAGATATGGTTCTCGTAAAAACCTTGGCCTGGTGTTTATAGACTGCTTTCTTTCTGAAGTTGGGAATTGCTAAGGAAAGACAATCTGATTTAAAAAAAAAAAAGGTTGGAACTGTATCAATTCAGCAAACTGATTATTAAAACCTGGAAAGTTTAGATAGCAGTATTATATGGCAAGCTACAATTATTTCCTGATTAATTTGTTGGCTGAGAAAATAGGCAGTATTAAGGTGATTTCCCCAGAATGCATTGTAGGAATTTAATAGAGACACAAGCAATAGGTGGAGATTTATACCACCGTTCTCATGCTATAGCCTTAGGAAAGCACATATGCTAGATTCTAACACCTTGAATTTTGTGTCTTATCACCTGACAAACCTCTCATCACATTGTTGAATTCATATTGGTTAGTAAATACATAATATTTGGATATATTTTGAATATTCTTTTATTTTAATTATATAACATAGCATATTTTTAATTGTTGTGGAATAGTAATTGGGAGTGGGGAAAATAGGATTCAAATTCTTCTTCAGCTATGAAGCCCACTGAGTGACTTTGGACCAGTCACTGTCACCAATCTATTTCCTGGGGTTGTTACAAGTATTAAGTGCACAGGATGAATATGTCATGCTTTGATCTCTTGAAAGAAAGGCAAGATATAAATGCAACTCATAAGTTAAAAATAACTTATCTGTATTTCATAGATAATTTTCCTTTCACATACCATATTCTAAATGTTCATATTTTAATGGGAAGTTAAAATAGTTGAAAGACATACTGTGAGTTAAAATCTCTGTAACAAAAACTGGAGTTCAGCTGAACTATCTGATGATGATTTTGGTTTAGTTTTTGCTAAATAATGGCTACAGCTTCTAGAAATCTTAAGTGAAGAAAAAAGAGCTATCAGCTAGTTGGAGTATAAAATAACTTGAGCAGAGAAATGACTCATTTTTTAAGCTTCAGTTAGAAGAGAAGTTAACTGAGAAAACACATGTATCCAAAATAAAAATAAAAATCACCATAACCGCATTACAGAAGCAAACAAAAACCCCATTGTGTAAGCCTTCGTATACACAACTAGTACTATGGGAAAAGAAATCGTGAAATATCACTGTCCTGCCTGGATGCCAGAAGGAATAAAAACAATAATATTAAAAGAGCAGCCCTCAGATGCAAAAGAGTGCCAAAGTTAACACACATTAATTCAAGTTATAATAAAAAAGTAAGTGTAATCTTTTTTCTCCCCAGGTGGAAGCACCTCCACTTTCCCCCTTCCCCAGCATTAAACAACTACCAATATCTCCTCGGCGAATTTCTCAGCAACATTCTCTTTATGTTTCACCACACAAGAATGGTTCTTGTCTAACACCTAAGAGTGCATTATTATATAAATTTAATGGGAGCCCCTCTAAGGTAAGATTTTTTTTTTACAATTAAGAGTTAAAAATGTCATCCTTAAATGTTGACTTCAGTATAGTCTTTCTGATCTTTCTTAAAAGATCTAGATAGCAATATGATAATTAAATATTAGACTGAAAATTTGAAAGTGACTGTCAACTCCCACCTCACTCAGCTTATACTTTGATGCCATGAGGTGACTAGTCTGCTAAGAACTCTGGGGAAGGTGGATAGGAGGGGAGCCTTGCTTGGGGG